CTACATAATTAATTAAGATTTTCGGAAAATTTGAGTTATACAAAGTTTGGACACCAGTGTGACGTGTGATCAGTCATATAAATTTCCACAATTGTTCTCGACCGCAGCATTCATTTGACTTTACACGTAATTACCATTTTTCTTTGTATATTCGTCTTGATCTAAAATCCTAGCAATTCCTTCTTCTTTCATTCACTTTCTTTTTTAAGGTGCTTATGTACTCCGGCTGTCATTTAATTTTAGTCTATTTACAAATAAGTAAGCTGTTAAAGGTTAAAATAAAAATCTAGATCACCGACGACACCTACAACACCGACAATACCGACAATATACTTGCTACAAGATGTTTGGTTACATTATGTATGGAGCCATAAGGTAAGCTTCACTCATTTTATTATTATTTTTAACATTTTGATAAATGGTACTAAGGGCTTATTATTTATAGCATTGTCGCGGGCTACTTATATCCGGCATATGCCTCCTTCAAAGCAATTAAAGCAAATAGCACGAAAAGTATAATGTCATGGTTGATTTACTGGATTGTTATGGCTTTGTTCTCAGTAGTGGAGGGAACTGCAGATAAATTTGTCTTTTGGCACGTTTAGGTTTTAAGATTAATTTATTTTTTTCACCGTTATGATAATCAGATGTATATCCTTTCTAGGTTTCCTCTTTATTACGAAATGAAGATGTTATTCGTGCTGTGGTTGATCCTCCCGCAAACACAAGTAAAATTAAATTTTTTTTTTTTTAAAAAAAAAACAAAAACATTTCCTTGGTAATCGATTATACTAAAAATTTTTTAAATCGGTTACGACAGGGAGCCACAATTCTCTATGATTCTTTTGTTGTTCCAACCTTAACACGTCATGAGAAAGATATCGACAAAGCATTAGGAGTGGCACAAGAACAAGCAACAAATAAGGGGATAGAATTAAGCAAAGAAGGAATAGCTAAGTTGTACCAAATAGCTGCTGAGGGTCTTCTAAAGGTTAGTCACAATTATACAGTGTTGGTTAATGACCTTATGACCAGTCACCTAATGGCTTTAAGCGTACGTTCAACTTTATAAGTCATTACTTACGGATGATCCTGAAAATTCTACCAGAATTATGTAAATTATTTAAGCTGGTCGGCCCGAATTATGCCTGATATGGCTAGGTCATTTGCCAACATTGTAGAGTGTTAAAGATTTAATTTAATTCGCATTTTAACTTTTCTTAAATGCAATGCATTTATCATTAACTTTTGTTAAATATGCAGACTGGCTTATATACGCCTGAGACATCTACTAGTCAAGCTCCACTCAATTCTAAGGAAAAAAATCAAGAGAGTAGTTTGTTTAAGTTCAATATTATTTCGTAGGAACAATGCCTTCCTTATGATATGTATATTTAGTAGAAACTTTATAATAATTCAAATTGAAATAATAGATTGAAAACAGAATAAGACGAAAACGAATTCAATTACTTGTAATATTTTTCTCTAAAACAAACACGTGACAAGTAACGGGAGAAAGCGAGATAAAGTGATAAAATAATCAGAATTTCCAGTTATATAAATGTTTAATTTGTAAATTTACGCTGGCCGATCGATATATTATTTGGTAGATGCATACT